CGGATTATTACCAAAAACTAATCAAAACCTAGCATTAGTTCAGAGCATCTATGTACCAAGTTTCATCAAAATCCAATGAGTGGTTGTTTAGATATCAGTGGAACAGTCATGGAACCACTAAAAAATAGCTAATTATCATGCAAATTAGGTAATTAATATGCACGGATTTTTACCAAAAATTAATCAAATCTGCGCATATGTTCAGAGCATCTATGTACCAAGTTTCATCAAAATCCAATGAGTGGTTCTTTAGATATCAGTGGAACAGTCATAGAACAGCTAAAAATTAGCTAATTATCATGCAAATTAGGTAATTAACGAGCATGGATTTTTACCAAAACCTAATCAAATCTGCGCATTGGCCCAGAGCATCTATGCACCAAGTTTCATCAAAAACCGATGTATGGTTCTTGAGATAGCAGTGGAACAGTCGGACACACATACACACATACACACATACACACACACATACACACATACACACACACATACAGACACACTAACTGCAAAGACTCCCATTTTGTGCTTCGCACATGGGAGTCAAAAATGGCGGATTATACCAACGTTAGCGACCGTGAATAACACGGCTTTTTGGTAAGTTTATCATTGTCAAATGCAACAAAAGTAATTTTTATGTTAATATTGTGGCTTGAATGGTTCGACTTTAGATCGTTATTTCGCATAGTTATTCTGGGAGTGACGATTTTGTTTCCACCGGTTCGACCGAACACCATTCTCTTTTTCCAGCCTGAGTCATCTGCCCTGGAGACGGGTGATGTTTTGTTGACGATCGGGCCAAAATCGTCTACGGTATTGAAGCTGTAAATATTCATCAAATTGTATCAACATTTTGTACATTATACAATAACTCTTTATTAAAGTAATTGAGCTGATTTGGACTGGAATAAAATATTTTTTATTTGGAACACATCGCAATTGATCAGGAAATATTTGTTTGCTCCAATTTTCTGCGTCGATGCCGTGGGCCGGTGACCGTTAAACAATTTAAAATCAGTTTGCATTGTTTACTATAGCTGTTTACAGTGTTCTAATCATTACGATTTACTTATTTTTTTGCTTCCATTCTAGATAATTATGCTCAGTGATGTAAAATTGAAGCGATGACTGAATGAACAAACCTTGGCTGGCGAAGATGTATCTGGAAGTGTACACATTTGTTGGAAGTGAAAAAAATATTCAATGACAAAAATTGTAAAATGCTGTGGAATTTCTTTTGCAAATAAAAATATACCATATTAATGGTTTATTCAAGTGGGCAAAATATAATGTACAGAAAGATTGCCCATATACACTGAAAAGTAAGCAACCGACAGCCTGTATAAAAGGGGAGCTGTGATTGGCTGTTACTTACGCGAGATTTGAACGGGACTTACATAGGCGTCGGATCAGATGTAGGTAGGGCGGAATTAAAAAAAAAATCACGAAATCAAAGTAAAATAAAAGGGCATTAATAACAAATATAATAAAAAATAAAATTAAAATAAGTTTATAGCCAAAATAATTAAAGCCCGTACACTACATCAGATTTTAATCAGATTGATATTGGCACAGATTGTCATTGTTACCTGAAAATCATTCATATTCTAAAAAGTGCACTTAAAGAAACAGTGTCCTCAAACTCAAGCTGGATAAAACATGTTAAAACAATTCTTGGACATGCTGACTTATCTGAAGTAAATAAAATATATAAAGTGGGAAACATCGCTGAATTAACAAAATTGTTGGAAGAAAAATAAAAAAATAAATATATACAAACATGGTATCAGCAACTTAGTCATGTCCCAAAAAACGGAAAATCAGAAACAAA